CCTCGTCGCCTGTGGATATTGCACCAACCTTCTATTGACTTTCTTGTCCTGAGTTAATTTTAGAAGCCTCTCCCTTCGTCCGGACATATTGCCTGCAAAGAAGGAAACCCGGGTTAGTTACGAGCAAGTAACAAACAAAGAAACTAGAACAAAACTATAAGACAAAAAGCAACCTAGTAGGTCCATGGCCTGCCCGTAGGACTGGCACTCGACAAGTGCCTTGGTATCTATAGGATGGGCCTCAAAGGTCGGGTAACCTTCCTCGTCAAGAATGTCTTTCCCCTCCCTCGTGACCCACCGGGCAGGGAAGAAGCTGTCGACATACTTGCAAAGGGTACCGTAGGCTTCCTCATCCTCGGCACTCATCCCTCCCGCGGGCGTATGGTAGTGCCTGGTACCATGCTCATAATGGCGCGAGCACCAATGCAACGGGAACTTGGATACACGCACCAACACCGGGCGACCCTTGTTGTCCATAAGAGGCTCCCCGTTTTTGTCGGCCACTGCGGTCTCCTCTTTGTATATAGAATCTAAAGCAGTCTGGGTGACCGGCCGCACGACATACCATTTGTCCTTGAAACCCCGGACCGAATCCATGTACATCCTGAACATCCTCTTTGACTGTTTCAGGGAAACCCAATTATGCCTGCCTCCTCGAGACTGGCGTTACAAGTGAAAAACTCTGAAGAAGAGAGGAATGGTATCCCCGATCCTTAGGAAGCGACATGTCAGCTCGAACGCCCGAAGAAAGGTGATCGAATTGGGGTGAAGCTGCGAGGGGGCCAAGTCCAGATGGCAGAATACCCCGACCTGGGGAACTACGAACTTCCCCTTCTCGACGTCTACTCTCCTAGGCAATGATGGCCCTACTCTCGCTAGGGTGGCATCATGGTTCCCAAGGGTTGCCTCGTGTACCCAACGAACACAGCCCGCGAGGAATCTCTCGAGCACGCATCAACAAGGATTACGCCGCGAACACAACTCATGAGAAATTTCTCGAGCAGTCACGGGGAAGCAAATATCCTGGGCCGGGCATCATACCCCGCGGCAAACGGCGAGCTGAGGTCAAGTCATAACTCCTGCTCCAGGAGCCACGACTTGGGGGGCTCCTATTCTGGATTGGGCCCGCCCTGGCCCAAAAGCAAGAACGAAGGCCCAATCCAAGCAACTCCTCGAGGAGCGCGCACCCGAGGATTCCCACCAGCGCGCCCGACCACAGACTGTAGCCGGGCCCGCCGTTGCCCGCGAACATGGTGTCCTCGACCACGAGAACTCCAGCTCGAGCCCAGCTCGAGCACCCTCCTCGTAGGGCAGATTCTGACCGTTACCAAATCAACTGAACTCTAGAAAGACCGCGTCTTCGTCCCTCCTCATTTCTCGCCGAGCATCACCAGGAAGGAGACCACGTGTGGGTCCCCACTACACACGTAGAACCTGACAGTTCCTTTATTGGGCCAGTTCTAGTCAGCCCAATGAGGGGACCTTGGCCCCGCGCTGGGGGCTATAAATAACCTCTGTTCCTAGAGGGTCAGGTATTCATATCTTACTCATACATACGCATATTACCTGCTCATTCTGTCACTCATTTTAGTATCGGAGTGCCTTGCAGGTACCCCCCCCCCCACCTCACTCAACCTCTGCTCGGAGCCAGTCGTAACGGTCCAAGTCTGATCAGGTAAGATCAATATTTAATCCTAATATTAATTACAAAATACAAGTCGCACTCTGGAATAAGGCTTGGCGAGTAGGGATAGAAATAGGCTAGGCTTTAGAAAACCTGGGCCTAGCCTACAATAGACTTAAAAGGCTTGAATCTGACTTATGATCTATTATATGCTAGTTTTTTTGGTTTGACGTGCCCTTTTTAAAAGCTTAGGCTAACCTGAAAGCCTATGTAAAAGTCTTTTTTCAATAAGATTTTCAATTAATTCATATTACTTAATATATAGAACCGTTCCCGGTGAACGCAGTCTTGTGTAGGAGGGTCGTTTGATAAATATTCTAACAGTTGAGATGTAAGTGGTGTCTAACTTTGTGTAAGGCCTCCTAGTGGACGTACATATGTTTGTTAGTCTAAGTGGATTGAGTTTTGAATTGGGATTTCGTATTAGGTTGGTCTTATTCGTTTGTTTGGTCGGCCTACAACAGTTATCCCCTAAACCCTCAATATCAGATATGAAGCTAGGATTGTTATTTAATTGTTGAGACCTACCTCAATGGAGTTTCGTCTAGAGGTTTTGTGAGTGTTGGAAGAGTTCTTTTGGTTAGGAAAGAGAATAGTGATAGATTCAGTGGTGATAATCGAGCTTTGGTTCTATCATAATTGTCTAGCTTTAATGGTTTCTCGAAGGACTCAGAGATTCTAAAGTCGACAAGGTGCTTCGCGAATAGATTTTTCAAAAATGAAAGGGATCTTGGTGGATGGTGCCTTTGTCATTTCTCCTTTGAGAGTAGTGCAACGTGAATCTCTTGAGATGCGGATCTTTGGGAGGAATGTGGCTACCATCTTCACCCCCTGAATCATGAGGAGTATAGTTACGGCCATGAGGGCGGTGGTGCTCTAGTGATTCAGGTTCCTTTTTTTTGTAATATTTCGTCATTAAGATTGACCCTAGGCGTAGTCTCGAGATTACAATGATGTAATACTTCTAGTTCTGCAGTGGCTCGTGATGGATCCTTTTGTTAATTTTCTTTTATACACATAATTCTCTAGTTAAGAAGATGCACATTTTATTGATGCACCGGGTTATAAATGTTTGTTATGAGTTTGTTTACGCCTTACATCCCTAGTGTGGCCTAAATTCGTTGCAGGTTTTGAGACATATATGGTTTCAACAATTGTACTTGTCGTAATGGTATATGTTTTTTTTTGTTTGGCCTTAGGGTAGTTGTTGAAATAATTGGAGTGACGGTAAGACCTAGAAAGTTATGTCCAATCGGAAGATAAGTCATGATGTGGCTGGATGTAGCAGATGGAGAAGTCCCTAGAATTGAATTGTGCATCCTAGAGGGAGGAAGTGGATCTTCAAACATGGGAGTAAGGTCTGGTGCGACAATGTCGATCGTAGGGACGATATTGCGATGAGCGGTGGACCAGGTCACTTTGTAAATTGTTATTGTTGAGGGTTATATAAGTTAATAATGATTGGAGTTGTTATAAAAAATGATTGTGGCGATGCAATAGAATAAATTCAAGAAGTTAATAGTGAAATTTCGTGAGAATCAAAAAACGATCTCGCTGAAGGCACTGCTACTTCAAAGAGGAACATAAAATTGGCAGTAGATCGACGATGCCCATAGTAGAAGGCCTCCGACAGAATAGTAAAGTCTTTGATAGACGGAGAAAAGGATGTACCTACAAATGAGAATACACATGTTCATCAATTTGGATGGACTAAATTTTGGATTAGACTTTTGTATTGAATCAATCTTATTGAGTTGTTTGGCCGATCTAAAACATTACCAGACAAACAAAGATAATTTCATACATCAATCTCCCCTATTGTCTTTTTTTTTTCTTTTCACTTTACTCCATTCATCATTCTTGTTCTTTGCGTTGTTGTTTTCCTTCGGATATAAGTTGAATAAGAAATGTTATTTAAACACTTTTTAGGTGTCGAACACTCTATTTTTATTTGATTTTATATGCACTATTATTTTTTATTATTATATTTGTATACAATGTTAAAATACATGTCAATACTTAGACTATGTATAATGGAGGTGTTGAAAAAATTATTCAATAGTTGAATAGGTGCAATGGAGTGTTGAATAAATTGTTGAAAGTGAGGTGAATTAATGTGTTAAAAACACTCAACATGTTGAATGAGGAGGGAGTGAAGCCACATATAATACTTTGCAAAATTTTATTGGTTATTGTGTGATTGTTTAGGTTTTTAATTTACCTTAATTATTTAGAATCAATTATTTTATAATAAATCAATTTTTTATTTATTTTTATTTTCACCAAAATTCATCATTTTTTATCTATAGATAAATATTTAGTTCATTTGATTTGAACATATAAAAAATTCATTTTTTTCTCTATTTTTTTCTATTTAACCTCCAATAAACTCTTATTTTATCCACTTTTATTTATTTTAATAATGAATATCCCTATAAAATTAGAAAAAAATCAAATAAATTAAAAATATAAAATTATAAAAAATTCAACTAAATTACTAAATTAAAAAATTATTTAATTCTTAATTATTTAAATTTTATTTCAATCAATAATTGATATTAATATAAAATCATAAAAATAAAAATATAAAAGAAAATAAAAATGATGGAATATGATATTAAATTTTATTAAAGAAAATCATTATAGTGAATAAAAATTGAATAGATGTTAAATTATTAAATAAAAGAAAGAGAAGATAACGTGAAATATGAAAAATAAAAGAATATTGAATATGTAAACTATTATACATAATAGCACTGCTGAGCTAAATAATATTTTTAAAGGAAAAAATACTCTAACAGTCCTAAAATGGACAAATTTCTTACTTTAGTTAAGTAATACATTGTACCCTACATCTAACTAATACTACTATATTTGTATATGCCACATCAATTGAGCTTAAAGATACCCTCAATAGTTCTAAGTACTAGTATTATATTTACCCTACATCTTAATTTTCTTCTCTATATACCCTACATCTTAATTTTTCATCTGTATGAACCTAAAAAAGTGATTTTGGCCACACCACCCTACTTTAATACATAACCCCTTTGTGCTATTGCTTGTCTTTTTCACTCACCTTTCAATTGGCACCCACAAAAAGAAACAAAACTTTTCAAATGAACAAGTGCTAAGGGATGAAGATAAAGACAGACAAATATAAGCAAATACATTCCCACCAATAAGCCAACTGTACAAATTACATAAACCATTAACAAAATAAATATCCAAACATTAATTAAAACCCCACCCCACAAAACAAAGCCACAAACTACATAACCTTAAAGGAAATAAAAACAAACAAACAAAACACACTTCATATACTAAGAAGATCTTTAGGTTCTTTTTCTGGAGCTTCTAAACTGTTTGATGATGACAAAGAGGATTCAGTGATAGTTAATGCAGTTAAGTCCTCTTCAACATGTTTTGAACTTTGTGATGGTTTCGGAAGCTCGGTAAGCATTTGAACAACTTCACGCATTGTTGGTCTTTCAACAGCTTGCTCTTCGACGCATAGCATGGCTACGTAGAACACATGCATCACCTCGTGAATTGGAACCGAGGGAAGTCGTGGATCAAGAACTTTTAGAACACCATCCTTGTTTGAATCAGTCATTTTTCTCACCCATTGTACAATGTCGACTCCATCTCCGAATTCTCCAACTGGTTTTCTTCCTGCTACAAGCTCTAAGAGTACCACGCCGAAGCTGTACACGTCGCTTTTCTCATCGACTTTCAGTGTGTATGCATACTCTGCAATCAAACTCTCAAATATTAATCAATCATCATAAACTAAAATAACAAGCACCATTATTAGAAAGTTAGTTAGTATTGAATTTCAAATATGATATGTTACCTGGAGCTATGTATCCATAAGAACCTGCAATAGCAGACATGCATTCAGAAGTTCCGGAATCTTGCAAGAACTTAGCAAGTCCAAAATCAGCAACATGGGCTTCAAAACTTGTATCGAGTAAGATATTGTTTGATTTCACGTCACGATGAACAATAAGTGGAGAACAGTCATGATGCAGATAACAAAGACCCTTGGCAGATTCCACGGCAATTTTATACCTTGTATCCCAATGCAAATGACCGCCTTTCTTACCATGAAGAACTTCACCTAAACTTCCATTAGGCATGTACTCATAAACCAGGAGATTTGCTTCATGGTTTGAACAGAAACCCAATAATCTAACAATGTGTCTGTGTCGAATTCTCCCTAAAGTTTGAATCTCAGCATTAAAACCATGATCATGTGAAGAGCCTCTACTCATCGCAGGTAACCTTTTCACAGCAACAAGATCACCATTAGGCATTGAGCCTTTGAAAACAATGCCAGCACCTCCTTTTCCTATGATATTATCCTCTTTCAAGGAATCAAGCACATCGTCGACGGTAAAGTCCAAACGTTGGAATGCGGTTAATTTCCACGCACGAGCTTTGCTAGCTTTTTTCAAAGACCGAGTTTTGAAGATTGTGGCAACAGCAAATACAGTGGAACACACAAGCAACCCAACAACAAGCAAAAGCTTCACAGTAGAAGACAGTGGTCCTTTGACATGAGCTTGATGAGAGCCATTAACAACACCATCTTTGCAAGGACCCAAATAAGGTCCACAAAGTCCAGGGTTACCAAGGAAAGAAGTGTAGTTAAAGTAACTAAATTGACCAGTACCAGGAACCAAACCAGTTAGATTATTGTATGAAAAATCAACAGAAGTTAAGCTTTGCATTGAGGAAATTGACCCTGGAATACTACCAACAAGGTGATTCTTTGAAAGATTCAAGTAATTCAATATCCTCATGCTAGTGATTTCATTAGGAATCTCACCGGAAAGCACGTTACGACTAAGATCAACAAAAGTTAAAAGCTTACAGTGACTAATCTCCGGCGCAATGGAACCAGAGAATCTGTTGTGACTAAAATCTATCTTAGAAAGCTGTTGTAACTTTCCAATCTCAGAAGGGATTTCACCTGAAAACTGGTTTCCATCAAGGAGAAGCTTTTGAACACTGGTGAAGTTTCCAATGGAAGGTGGTAACGGCCCAGAAAGCTTGTTGTTGGAAAGAGTAACCTGACCAAGATTTGGAGACATAGAAACAGGTTGAGGAAAGTTCCCAGATAAAAGATTATCCTGAAGCTCAACTTGTGTGAGCTCCGGAAGACCAAAAAGTCCTTTTGGAATTGACCCATTAAGAAAATTCTCACCCATTCGAATTCTGCTTAAAGATTTACACTTTCCAAGTGAATCTGGAATGGGACCAAAAAGGAAATTCCCTAAAGTTATCAAAGTTTGAAGCTTGTTCCCAAAACACATATAAGGTGGAAGAGAACCAGTTAACTTGTTTGAAGAAACATCAACAAGTGTAAGCTTCCCGTTTTTCCCCAAACTCTGAGGAATGCTTCCGGTGAAGTTATTCTCCCAAATCTGCAACACTTCGAGCGCTGGCATCTCGCCGATAAACTCCGGTATCGCTCCATGAAGCTTGTTTCTAAACAAGTTCAAAAGAGTAAGATTCTTCAGCTCAGAAAAACTCACCGGAACTTCACCGGTGAAACCATTGTTCGACAAATCCATAGACTTCAAGCTCTTCAAGCTTCCAAGCTCCGGCGTAAGAGACCCGGAAAGCGCATTTACCTGAAGAAACAAAGTATCCAATTTCTGAAGCTTACCCAACTCCGCCGGAACCTCACCGGTTAAACCACAGTAAGCAGCGTCAAGCCTCACCATCTCCGATAAGTTACCAATCTCCGGTGGGATACCGCCGTCGTAGGTGTTGTAATAACCAATGTAAAGCTCGCGGAGTGAAGTAAGGTTCCCGATCTCCGGCGGAATAGGACCGGAAAGCTCGTTACCGGAAACAGCAAGATACTCGAGATGAGACCAAACACCATACTCTGACGGGATTCTCCCGGTGAAAAAGTTTCCACCGAGATGCAAATGACGGAGAAACGACATGTGGGTAACTGATAGAGGAAGTGAACCGGTCATGTTATTGTTGTAGAGATCAAGAACCTGAAGATTGGAGAGAGTAGAAAGCTGAGAAGGGAAAGTGCCGTTGAAGACATTGTTGGAGAGGTTGAGGTAGCGAAGAGAAGAGAGAGATGAGAGAGAAGGAGGAATAGGGCCGGAGAATTTGTTATCAGCCAGGGAGAGGTTGGTGAGGAAAGGTAGATTTGAAATGTCGTCGGAGAGTGTGCCGGTAAGGGAGAGTGAAGAGAGGTCGATGGAGATAACGTGTCGGCGTTGGCCGCATTGGACGCCGTGCCAGGAACAGTGGGTGGTTTTTGTGGTCCATGAGGAGAGGGAGTTGGTTGGGTCGGTTGTGATGGAAGATGATTTAAATGAGAGCAAGGTTTGGTATTCGGAGGTACTATGTGTTGTGGAAATAAGGAGGAAGAGGAGTAGTGATAGAAGGAGGCGCATTTTGTTATTGTGTGAGAGGGGGGAAATGGTGGAGTGAAGGTGAGACCGAGTGAATGAGTGTTGAAGAAGGTTCAAGGGTGGGTCTTTTTAAGTCTCATGAATATTGTATACCAACATGATGAATGATTTGGATTGTCCCTGTGGTACCAATGTCCATTTTATGTTTTATTATCCATTCACCATAATATATATATATATATATATATATATATATATATATATATATATATATATATATATATATATATATATATATATATATATATATATATATAAGACGGCTCGATAGAAAATGTTTCAGGTCTGCAACTCAATTAAGGGGCACTGTACGGTCATTATACTTTCGGAGAGCAGCCCGTATACACCTTGAACTCGGGTAAGGATGGCGATCGCAACCACTTACCCATAGTCGACTACCAATCCGACCCATCAATGCTCGTAACAGTCGACGACACATTCATTACAGCGTTACACAACTTTTATCGTCTTCATTTATGGAGACGACAGAGGTTATAGAGTTATGGAACTCAGGAGTCACTCATTAACTGAGGCTCTTGATGACGCAAAAGAGACGTACTATATAAGGAGCTCCCGTAAGAGGGATAAACAAGACATTCATTCTTAGGACAATACCTTTCACTAATGTAGCTCCCAAATCCCCACTAATCAATAAAACCTACTTCTGTGACTTTCCCCATCTACAGCGGAAGGTCGGACGAATATTTGTTCTACGCAAGAACATCGGCGCCCACAGTGGGGTCTCGATGAAATTATTCCTAGGTCACACTCCAATCTATATTCAACAGAATGTTATCGCATGGAGACCCCCCAGACATGGCATAACTATTAGCCATGGTGGAGGCCCTCAGACAGCAGAACGAAACTCTGCAAGATAGTGTCACAAACCTGCAACAAAGAAGCGTAGGGGACGATGACCCAGAAGAGGAGATTCTGGAACTCCAACCTCTCTCTCAAGCTATTTGGGACGATCAAGTTCCAGAGAACTTCAAAGCACCGTTGCTGACGGCCTACGACGGGAAAACTGATCCTTAGGGGCATGTTATTGCCATCAACAACCAAATGGCAATAATAGGCTCCACCGACTCACTAAAGTGTAAACTGATGGTTGGCACCTTCAAGGACGTGAGCCTACCACGACTATTAGTGGAAAACTACCCAGACCCGACGAAGAAGTTGATCCATCACTTCTCCGCTAATAAGCACTGTAAGGTGTCCACAACATCCTTATTTAATGTCCGACAAGGTCAAGCAGAGTCTCTCCGGAAATACTTAGCCCAGTTCAACAAAGAGACCATTAATGTATCTCATCCCAACCAAGAGTTGTTCATTGGAGCATTCCAACACAACCTCTGAGTCGGGCAGTTCAATGAGTCCTTAACATAGAAGCCCGTATCCGACATGAACGAAATCATTACCAGAGAGGAATACTACATAAAGGGTGAGGAGAGAAACTTGGAGAAACGATCCAGAGACAACCCGGAGAGAAGTAAGACCAAAGAAGAAGGGTCGGGAAGGAGGCAGGAGCCTTCCCGGACGACTTCAAGAGATATACCCTGGAAGCGCACAACTCAAAGGCCTAACCAACATCCCTTTGATTCAAACGATGTGGGGACACCTCAACACAAGGAGAGGCGAAGTTTTACAGGAGGTAGTGCACCTGAACATGATCCCAGAAGCGCTCTGTAATAAAATGGGAGTCAATGTCGTACTGGGGAATGACGTTTGAGCTTGGTGTAGCTATCATCAGCTCCGAGGACACCATACTGACGATTGCCTCCAGTTAAAGAAAGAAATCGAGACATTGATACAAAATGGGCATCTACTAACTTACGTAAAGAGGGTAAAGCCCCAGTTGATAAAAGAGATACTCAGCGGAAATGTGTGGGCTCGGAAGAACCTTCCCAAAAAAAAGGGAAGAGTATTGAAGAAGTGCATGAGACCAAATCGGCTGGCCACACCCTCAACACCATGCCAGTGGATTTGCTGGCGGAGGCGAAACCATTTCGGCCAGAAAGAGATATGCTCATGTTGTGATGCACGTATTTGAGGACATAGCCAAGGTCTTGGAACAGGATTTAAACCCGGTTAACTTCTCCAGAAAAGATGTGGTCGAAATTATGGCCCATGAGAATGATCCTATGGTCATCAAGGTACAAATCCGAGATTGGAGCGTGAAAAGGGTGGTGGTGGATCTCGGTAGCTCTGCAGATATACTCTATTGGAAAGAGTAGATTAGCTAAGAGGATGAACCTGAAAGTCAGACAGGGATATTTTCAACCAGGAGATCTAGTCCTCAAAAAGATTATTGATCCTAAGAACAAGGGAAAGTTGTCTCCGAACTGGGAAGGCCCATATCAGGAACTTCATAAGCTAAACAATAGAGCTTACAAATTGGAAACTCTGGACAACGTAGAAATACCTAGGACATGGAATGTATCCAATCTCAGGCTTTACTTTAGCTAAAACTATGTAATAAAATCTCTAATAAATGTATGTGATGCACTCTTTTCCCTTACAATGGAAAAGATTTTTAATGAGGCACCTAAAGTGAAATAAAATATTTGTAACTAAAGTCGAAGCACACTCGAAGCCTCTTGCAAACTCGGTCAACCTTGCCAAGGCTCTGGACCTACTCGGCCAATATTAAAAGAGGCTCTGATCTGACAAAAAGATAAAGCGCACTCGAAGCCTCTCGCAAACTCGGTCAATCTCGCCAAGGCTCTAGACCTACTCTGACAACCTTAAAAGAGGCTCTGATCCGGCAAAAAGACAAAGCACACTTGAAGCCTCTCACAAACTCAGTCAACCTCGCCAAGACTCTAGACCTACTCGGACAACCTTAAAAGAAGTTCTGATCTGAAAAAAAGACGAAGCACACTTGAAGCCTCTCGCAAACTCGGTCAACCTCGCAAAGGCTCTGGACCTACTCGACCAACCTTAAAAGAGGCTCTAATCCAGAAAAAAAGACGAAGCGCACTCGAAGCCTCTCGCAAACTCGGTCAACCTCGCCAAGACTCTGGACCTACTCGGCCAACCTTAAGAGAGGCTTTGATCCATCAAAAAGTTCAAATGCACTTCTAACCTCTAGCATTAAGTCAGTTAAGCCTTCAGGCCTCTATTTGCATCAGCAAACACTCTCCGCCATAATGGCCGAGTTCTATCATTAAAAATTCCTTTCCTAAGGGTCGAGTAGTATTAGACGCTCCTCACATGGGGTCGAGTTGCACAAGCTGAACGCTCCCCGTACGAGAGATGAGTGAATCTTAAAATAAACTCCAGAGACTTATTATGAAAAATAAACATGAAAGTAGTTGAGGATTTTTATAAAACCCGACACTACATGATCAAACACAAACAACCCAGTGGACTTTTTGTCTGAGGGGCTTATATATATACTAGATTATCTTCAAAGTAAAAAAATGCATAAACCGAAAAAATGCAAACGGAAAGCTGAGATACAAATAAGCGAAAAGCAACAGTTACATAAAGCCACAAAAGGGAAGTCTGAAGTACAAAAGCCTCGAGGCAATAGTTTAAAAAGTAACAAAAAGGATGCCGAACCATTCCTTGCAAAAAATTACATAAATGCATCCTTATCGGATGACTAACAAACACAAAACATCATGCAACTAGGTCCTCTTTCCCGTCACCATCATTATTGACATTTTCCTCGGCAGAAGGATCTTCAGGATTTGGTTGAGGAGAGGGAGTCTTCTCCACCTCTTTGATATCTACAAGGCAGCCATTCTGCACCACCTTAAAGTAATTTATCTCTGATATCGGGCTGAAGACACAATATCTGATCCTTGGCCCATTCAAAGGCCTCATCACCAGCTGAAAGAATATCCACTTGAGACTTCCTAAGAGCCTCCCTAGCTCGTTAGTGCTAACCTTCAGCTCATCATTAGTGGCCTTCTCCACCTTCAACCTCTCATTGAGTTGAGTAAGAGATGCTTTACTCTCAGACTCCAAAGTCTCCCCATTCCCTTTCTCCTTAGCCAGGCTTTTCTCCACGCTTGATAGCTTCTCGAACTGAGCCTTATGATCCTCCTTTAGCCGATTTATCTCCTCCTTCAGCCTCTCCTCCTTCTGATTACAGTCATCACTTGCCTCAAAGGGACCATGAGTTAAAACCGCACACCTCATGAGGTAAGAGCTGAGATTTTGGGTTATCTTCTACCGGCCTACAGACATGACCTTGTTAACATCCTCAAAGGCGTTGAGGTGATCATAGAGGAAGCGAATTCCGTCAAAGATGTTGGACCAGAGGCATGATTGTCTTTGGGTCCTCCCATCAAAGAAGTTATCTCCATATAGGCCCGACAAGCCTCGTCCCTCATAAGGGATTATTTCCTCTTTGAAGTATCCAGTTGAACCTCCTCCTAGATGGTTGGGGCAGAACCTTGAGGCTCAACCATGCTGGAAGTAGCTTTAGAGCCTACCCCCTTGTGCTTCTTCAAAGCCCGGATCTCCAACCCGGATGGATCCGACTTGATCGTAGAGGCCCCACTGGCACCTCTCTGGGAAGCCCTGGCCTCCATCATCAACTTCTCCTGCTTTACTACAGAAAGATATGTCATCTTATCTATAAAGAAAGAAAAGGACACTACTACAAAAAACCCATTTAACAACGGTTGGAAAACCCATATAATCATACTGGTCCAGGCGTTGTTGTGTAGAGTGTTGTTGTAAATGCATAACTTACAATCACGGTTTTGGGACCATTGTAGTGTTTTGGAAAGTTTGCGTTGCAACAGTAGTAATATTAAGACTAAGCCATTGGATTGACTTAACTCGTACAAATCCAATAAAAATTGCCACCATGCTTTATTATTTCCAAAGGAAATGGGAAAAGAGCGAATAAATCCAAGAGTAAAAGGGAGAGAATCTAGGTATGGGGGTTGGTTATGCAAAGGGAAGATATTAGAACCCTAAATATCTACGGTACTCCACGGGAACCTCTTTGAAAAATCTGTGTA